GACACTGTTCAAATTGGCCCAAACCACTACTGTAGCAGATTATTACTCTGCTTTCACGGTTTTAGCTAACAGGGCCCAAGGTCTAAGCCCAGATGCCACACTAGACTGTTTCATCAGTGGACTCAAAACGGAAATCAAACGAGACGTCATTGCTCAGACCCCCACTTCTCTATCACGTGCCTTTGCCCTTGCTAAACTCTTTGAAGACAAATATTTCATACCACCACCTAAACCACCACCGGCGACCACCCATAAACCTTATCACTATCCAACCCAAAACCTTAACCCTCGAAATGGCCCCCAACCACCACTTCTGCCGTCACCCACACCAAAAGCCACCACCAACCCACCAAAATCTAACCCAGTTCGCAACATCACGCGCGCCGAAATGCAATTGCGCCGCGAAAAAGGTTTATGCTATTACTGTGACGACAAGTTCTCTATCACACATAAATGCCCCAATCGCCATTATTTGCTACTTCAGATTGATGATGACGACGAACCCCCTCAACCATCCGAACCTTTTGATTCACCCACCCCACCTCCCAGCTCTGTTGACGAGTCTGAGCATCACTTATCCATGAACGCGTTAAATGGTTCTCACAGTGCTGGTACCTTACGATTTCAGGGCCACGTGCAGGGCATTAGTATCAGTGTGTTATTGGACAGTGGCAGCTCTGACAACTTTATTCAGCCCCGCATTGCTCATTGTCTCAAACTACCCATTCATTCCATTGAACAATTCAAAGTCATGGTGGGCAATGGCAATTCTCTGACTACTTTGGGATTCATAGCTGAGCTTCCTGTCACTATTCAAGGACATATCCTGCATATCCCAGTGTATCTCTTACCTATCACAGGAGCAGATTTGGTTCTAGGCGCCCCTTGGTTAAAGACCCTCGGTCCTCACATAGCGGACTATAATGCTTTGTCTATCAAATTTTATGTCAAAGACACTTTTGTGACTCTATTTGGTGAGAAACACAAAGGTCCAATCCCTGCTCAGTTCCACCACATCAAGAGACTTCACAATACGAAGGCAATTGAAGCTTCATTTACTCTGCAGTTCCAAGAAATACATCCTGCCACCGGTTTTGATCCAACAGGGTTACACCCTGACTTGACTGCTATTCTGCATAGTTTCCATGATGTTTTTGCTGAGCCTCAAGGTCTACCACCTGCTCGCTTTCATGATCATGCTATTCCATTGGTTCAAGGCAGCAATCCGGTCAAGGTAAGGCCCTATAGATACCCTCATAGTCAAAAGTCTCAAATTGAATCCATGGTTTTGGAGATGTTGACCCAAGGCATCATCCAACCTAGCAATAGCCCTTTTTCCTCTCCTGTCCTCTTAGTTAAAAAGAAGGATGGATCTTGGAGATTTTGTACGGATTATAGGGCTTTAAACACTATTACTGTGAAAGATAGTTTTCCTATCCCTACAGTAGATGAGCTATTAGATGAATTATATGGGGCACAATACTTTTCCAAGCTGGATTTAAGGTCAGGGTATCACCAAATTTTAGTCAAGCCTGAGGATAGATTCAAAACTGCTTTTAGGACTCATCAAGGCCTTTACGAGTGGCTTGTGATGCCTTTCGGCCTGTCCAATGCACCTGCCACCTTTCAGAGCTTAATGAACCACGTCTTTCAAGCTCAGTTAAGAAAATCAGTTTTGGTCTTCTTTGACGATATACTAATCTACAGCCCTTCATGGTCTGCACACTTGAGTCACTTGGAGGAAGTGCTGCAACTCATGAGATCCCATTCCCTCTTTGCTAAAATGTCAAAATGCTGCTTTGGCTTCACTGAGGTTGACTATTTGGGACACACCATCTCTAACAAGGGTGTTCAAATGGACAAATCTAAGATTCAAGCAGTCCTTGATTGGCTCCCTCCCACAAATCTGAAACAATTGCGTGGTTTTTTGGGTCTGTCCGGTTATTACAGAAGGTTTGTCCGCCATTATGCCACCATTGCTGCCCCATTGACTGAACTCTTAAAGAAAGATGCCTTCCAATGGACTTCTCAGGCCACAGATGCATTTCAAGCCTTGAAACATGCCATTACGGTTGCGCCTGTGTTAGCACTACCAGACTTCACCAAACCCTTCATTCTTGAAACAGATGCCTCGGGTACCGGTATTGGTGCAGTCCTAAGTCAAGACAAACACCCTATAGCTTATTTCTCCAAGAAGCTTAACCCTTTGATGCAGAAGAAATCAGCTTATGTTAGAGAACTTTATGCTGTTACTGAAGCAATGGCGAAGTTTCGTCATTATTTGTTGGGTAATCACTTCATCATTCGCACTGATCAGAAAAGTTTGAAAGCCTTAACTGATCAGACCATCCAGACTCCGGAGCAACAGAAGTGGCTGCACAAATTCTTGGGTTTCGATTTTTCCATTGAGTATAAACCCGACAAGGATAACATTGCAGCTGATGCGTTATCTCGATCATTTTTTGCCTTATCCGGACCAATCAACCCCCTGCTACCATTAATTACAGTGGCTGTGAATGAAGATCCTCACTTTTCAACCATCAAACAACAATGTATGCAGGGCACCTGTACAAAGCCTTTCTTCCATGTGCAGCAAGGCATCTTATTTTGGAAAAATCGTGTCATGGTTCCCCCTAGACCACACTTGATTCAAGCTATCTTAGAGGAATTCCACTCGTCTATGTTGGGAGGACATGCCGGTATAGCACGCACCAAAGCTAGAATCACTTCTCAATTCACTTGGCCTTCTATGACTAAAGATATTCGACGATTTGTCTCACAATGTTTGGTGTGTCAACAAGCAAAGTCGTCTACTTCCGCTCCTGCGGGACTACTGCAGCCACTACCCATACCGGCTCAAGTGTGGGAGGATTTATCCATGGACTTTATCACTGGTCTTCCCCATTCGAATGGGTTTACTGTCATTATGGTTGTCGTGGACAGGTTATCCAAATACAGTCATTTCGCTCCTCTGAAAGCTGACTTTACTAGTCTCAAAGTCGCTGAATCCTTCCTACATAATGTGGTGAAATTACATGGATTTCCTCGTAGCTTGGTATCGGACAGAGATAAAGTATTTACAAGTGCATTTTGGCAGCAGCTATTCAAATTGAGTGGCACAACCTTGGCTATGAGCACAACTTACCATCCTCAGTCCGATGGTCAGACAAAGGCAGTTAACAAATGTTTGGAGCTGTATTTGAGGTGTTTCACAGGGCAGGAACCTCAGAAATGGTCCAAGTTGCTTGACTGGGCCGAATTTTGGTATAATTCTTCGTTTCAGTGCAGCATCGGCATGACACCATTCAAAGCGGTTTATGGCAGAGACCCTCCTAACTTAGTCAAGTATGATACTGCAGAATCAGCACCTATACCATTACAAACATTGCTTGTTGAAAGGGACCTCACCCTTCAACTCCTCAAAGCAAATTTACACCGTGCTCAGCAAGTCATGAAGAAGTATGCTGACGCCAAACGCAAGTTTGTGGAGTATCAATTGGGTGATATGGTATTGATCAAGTTACAACCATATAGGCAACACTCTGTCGCTTTACATCGTAATCAGAAGCTTGGTATGCGTTATTTTGGGCCTTTTCCTATCATTGAGAAAATAGGTACTGTTGCTTATAAGGTGCTGCTGCCACCGTCAGCCAAAATACATCCTGTCTTCCATGTGGTTAACTTGAAACTGTGCAAAGGAGAGCATCACACTCAATATTTTCCACTTCCACTGCTGACTTCGGAGACTGGACCCTTGTTGGTTCCGGAGGAGATCATGGACACCAGAGTGTTGCTGCAAAAAGGGCGCAAACTGTCCCAAGTCTTGGTTAAATGGGCAGGCTTACCTCACACTGAAGCAACATGGGAAAATCAAGAAGAGCTGCAAGGCAATTTTCCCAACTTTAACCTTGAGAACAAGGTTAATTTTAATGGAGGGGGTAATGTTATGATAGAAGGCCAGAGGAATATTCCTATCACTAATGCACATGTGGAAAAAGGACACTTGTCACATGATCCAAATTATCAGGAACCAAGACGTGGCACAAGAGAGAGAATTCCTAACAGAAAATACAGTACAGACTGTTAAATAGAGGCAGGATGGGGAATGATAGGGTGTGGAATTTAGTGGATGAAAACCTAGTCCTTTCTCTCTCTGAATTTAGCAGCTTTCCATGGTTGTTAGATTTTCTTGTATCTTCCTTTCCATTTGCTAATTCTAAAATTTCAGAAGATAAAAATTGTACTAGATACTTGTTTAAGAATATAGTACAATTTAACACAAATTATTTTGTTTACCTTTTACTGTTATTTGAACCATAACATATACCCTCTAAATTTCAATTAAAACCATTTTCAAAAAAAAAAAATCTTTCGAGGGAGGTCACTAATATTGAATAATGATCACATTAATGGTTAGAATTTCCTATTATACTGAAACCACAAAGAACCCCATAATATCCCCATCATCACATATTGTCAAAATTAAACTCTTTTCTCTTCAATATTCACACATAGTTTACTACAAAACGATAAAGAAAAAAAAAACCATGGCCAACGATTTTAGAAGCAGTTTGGAAATTACAAAAGCCAGTCTCATTGACTTTGTGGAACCAATATTCCGTTTTTTAAAATCAAATATAATAATATTATTTTTAAAAAACACAACAAAACAAAACAAAACAATTAGAAGACTATTTTGTTTTCAACATATGCGGCATAGACAAAAATGATAATGCCAAATTTTAAGACTTTTGTGCGTTGACACTACCCATAGAGAACAAAGACCAGAGAATGTACCCTTCATTTTTTATGTATAAATTCATTACATTCTCTTCCTTTTATTTAATGAAGGCCAACACAACCCAATTCTCCAGGTATATATTATTCATTCATGCATGTTTCCCATGCAATTTCAAATATCAATATTTTTTTTTATATTAGAAAATAATTATATTGATTAATTAATTTTGTAATCTAGTTGCAGGAGTTGAAATACATTAATGGGTGGTATAAAAGGAAAATTTAAGAAAAATGTGATACTGAAGAAATGGCAATCATTTGGAGATGGAGGTGGCAATAGCAATATGAGGTCACCAATATTGAATAAGGGAAGTTCAAAATCATGTTCAGAAAAAGTCCCCAAAGGTTGTTTTTCAGTTTGTGTTGGATCTGAAAGACAAAGGTTTATTGTGAAGACAAAGCTTGTTGCACATCCATTATTCAAGATGTTACTAGATGAAGCAGAAGTGGAATTTGGGTTTCAAAATGATGGACCAATTAGGCTTCCATGTAACGTTGATTTGTTCTATAAAGTTTTGGCTGAAATGAATAATTTTGATGAAGAGGTTAGTAAGATTAATGATGGTAGTTGTAGAAGCTTTAACAAGGCTAAAAGGTTTTCATTATTTTGTTCTTCGAAGCCAAAGCTATATGAATAGAATATTAGTCATTCGTGAAGTGTATAGTGTTAGGGATAAATTAATCTTGGTTAATTTCATGATAATGTGTGAGCAAGGATAACTACTTTGTATTGCAAGAACTAGTGCTAAACAGTATAGTGGGAACGTTTTTTCACACGAATTGTGCATTTGTTTACATGTAGTTTTGTAAGACATGTTTCTATTTAAGATTTGGATCTTGAGTTTTCACCTTAAATTAGAGTATTTCACTTCAACCAATTGAGTTAAGCCAAAAGAATGTGTTCAAGTTAGAGTTTTGATTCTTGTATTGGTATGTTAGTGTTCACTCTATTAGCAAATGTATTAATTTGATGAAATAATAAAATAATTTGTTTGTATGAAGATTGCGAATTTAAACAAGGTTATACTAATGTGAATTAAAATAAATAATGAGTTGTTTTTCAAAGATGATTAGTATGATAATAATAACGAGAAGAAATTTAGAGGAAAGTTTTGATAGCAAAAGTGATTAGATCATTATTTCAAATCTATTAATTATATTAGTTGATGAATGTGTATCTGATGAATAACAATTATGCAATAATTATACGACAAATTAACAAATCCACTGTACTCAATTTTCTGATGTTCAGCTTAGTAATTTTAACAATAATTCCCTAATTTCTTAGGTAAATTCAAAGGAAAACTAGGCGTTTCTAAGTTCGTTAATTCTACCGCCACAACTTATAATTATCTATTCCTAATTAATTACTAAGTTCAACAATTGTCCTAATTCAAACTGGTACACTTACGATCAATACTATCTACTCATCTAAAATCACTTTGTGCGCTCGTCAACACATAAAGAGTAGTAAGAACAAGAACAATTGAAGAATAATTATAACATAAATGTATTCAAATAATCTCAAACACTCATATGATCCAAAAGAGTACAATTAGGTTCATATCTAAAGACCTAATCTAAGATAACTTAACTACTTATAGTAAAACAAACAATTACCATAAGTTCATAAGAAGGAATCAGGAAAATCAATGGAAAATAAGTTCTCAAATGACTCCAATGCTCTCCAAAATCATCACAAGATGCTTCTTACCGTCATTTTCTCACCTAGAATTCGTAACCCACTCAAAAGTAGCAAAATTCTCCTTTTAAGGCAGCAAAAGCATGTCATAAAAATGTCTCATCACGATTGCGTTAGGTTGCATTGAGATCGTGATATTTGCTTATCGCATCTACGATGAAAGTATTTTGGCCGTGAGAAAACCAGAGGCAAAATATTCTTTTTTTCTTCCTTTTTCTTCTTATTTTTTCTAAGTCCTAACTTTCTTCACCTTTGGTCATTTTGCTAACTTCTTCATCATTTTGGATTAGTTTTTACTCATAATTCTACCGATTTTAGCGAAAATGCTCGTAAATATTACCTAATGACAGAGTGTCATCAAAATCCCAAACTTACTTTGTTGCTTGTCCTAAAGCATCCTGTTTGTACACTAAATATTTCATCATAATAAAATGCTTACCCTTACCAATGAACATCACCTTTTTTTTATGATCAACACGTCCGTCCCCTGGTTCAATCCAAATAACTCTGAAAAGTTCTTCCAACATCATAAGTACTCAACCTGTCTCTCATCTTATCTTTGTTCACTCAAACTTACAAGATATTCACATAATCAACGCACAAAAGCATTTAATCGTGAGTTTAAAATTTTTTCTAAAAAATAGTTTTGTGGTCTTTTCAAGGTTGTAACGTGGCTTACGCTAGGGTAGGATATTTTGAGATAGTAGGTTTAAACCTTTGGAGTTAGGTACCTAGTTTTTCTTATGTTACCTGGTTCCTTTCATATCAATATTTTCCTAGTCAATCAATACTAGAGAATGTATTTTATTGGTCTTGTTTATCTTTCTTTTCTTTTTCACACAATTTTTTTGAAGAAATCTTTTTTAACTTCTTATTTTTATTTTTCTTTATTTTGACTAATTTCTCTAGTATCTCAAACCCAAGCTTAAACATTGCTAATTTCCATGAGTAACCCCAACTTATAGATTTGCATCAGACAAGGAAAATAATTTTTTTACCTAACTTCAAAGAGGGTTGGACATTTTATCTTTCAAGACAAATAGCTATATAATAAACCATACCATCGAAAGAAGGGTTTATGCTCAAAGTGCTTAGAAAATGATATAACTCTTTTAATACAAGTTGTCTTAAATGGCTCAGATTTTTCACAAACATCTGTCTCAGGATGTATTCATCATACCAATGGATTAAGTAGAAACAATGCAAATTCTAAAAAATAATTAATGTATGGATACTCTCATAAAAAAGAAAAGTGAACAATGGAAACTTATGGCTCAAACTTTACTAGTTAAGGTATATGATAAAATTATGTTCCTCAGAGAACAAATTTCAAACACGATGTCCTAGACAACCAGTTCGACAATTTAAACCAGAACTAACACAAATGATCTAGTGTAGGATGATGGAGCAGAAAAAATAATAAAGAACACAATAATTGGTAGCCCAGTTCGATGCAACAATACCTATGTCTGAAGGATTGGCTTCCAACCCAAGAAAGGAAATTCACTATTAGTAGTTTAGTATAATTAGTCTTATATGAACCAACAAACCATATGTTGTTCAATGCTTCTACCTAACACTACCCAATAACTTTCTATTTAGGACTCCCACTAAATATGAGATCCGCAACACCCTAAACCCCGAAATGTAAAATATTGCGGAAATAAAACAAATACACACATATGGTGTCACTTAACCACATTAGAAGCCTACTCCGTAACACGGGTTATGTAATACATGCATTAATAAAAAAAAACATGTCATCACATTGTAACACCCTTCTAAACCCCACGGAAAATATATGAATAATCAAAGTAAATTTTCATACATTTACAAAAGGGTATTACACATAATTTCAAAACATCAAAACACCTGTCATGCTCATAAACACTTCAATAATTAATCATGCCTTTTCAAGATTTCACTTGCATGTAGCAGCGGATTCAATTATATAATAATTTTCATAAAGAAACATTTGTGTTTATCACATAAACCAACATCGTATAAGCGCTAAGGCCACATCATAATATTCCAATGAATATAAACACGTTTATAGAATACGTAATGTATATCTAAAACATAACCCAAGCGATCTCAGTGTTACATGACCAGAGCATGACTCGACCCAACATAATTAAATCACTAAACAGCTACACCAATAGCGACCTCGCAACTACAAGTAGCTCTACTCTTAGATACCTACACGATGCCAGATAGAACATCATTCCAAAAGAAGAGTGAGAAATATTATCATAATAGCAATGCATATAATCATATGGAAAATGCATAAGCAAAGAATACATACATTCCACATTTTCTCACCATAATTCATTATAACTCATCATATACGTCACAACATATATATATATATATATATATATATATATATATATATATATATATATATATATATATATATATATATATATATATATATATATATATATATATATATATATATATATATATATATATATATATATATATATATATATATATATATATATATATATATATATATATATATATATATATATATATATATATATATATATATACATACAAAAAGGATAATCACCAAGCATATTCATCATGCACATATCCATAAATCTCAACATCTCACATAAACATACACATATTATGTTTACTCTCCAATTCACTATTATACATTCACAATTCTCAAATCAACAATTCATGCTCATAAGCATACTTTAATACAACAATCACATATTCACAACTCTCAATTACACAAGTAATGCACATACACATATTCCACAATTCTCACCATACTTCATCATGTACTTCACAAAGCTTACGTATATTTATATAGACAAATATGGACAATCATCAAACATATCCATAATTCTCAATTACACAAGTCATGTACATACCCCTATGTATAACTTCATACAACAATCACGTATTCATTCCATGAGACTCAATGCAACTCAATGCAACTCATGCCATGTGGTACCAACACTTGTTATCATTTTTCGGTTTTTACACTTAAATCGGGTCTAGTCTTCTAGACCGATAACACCAAAAGCCCGTCCTCTAAACTTTCAAACCCACTCTTCTAGGCTTGGGACAAGTTACTAGTCTCCACAAAACTAGCAAACATTGCCTCTTGACTAAATGATGCACATGCAATCAACCACAAAATGCACTTAAGACCGTTCTCGCAACTTAATCTCATGCATTCTCAAATAATTCATCACATACGAATTATAACATGATTGCACACACAAGATATACATATTTCAATATCATTAATACATGTATCAAGCAATGCACACATATTCACGATATGTTCTCATGCATTCTTCACATACAATCGCATACAAACAATATGCATTCAAAATTCAATATCATCACCACATTTCAAGCAATGCACACATATTCACAATATGTTCTCATGCATTATTCACAACACAGTGCCAACGACAACGAATTCAACAACATTTATCATGCATTTTAATCAATTCAAACAATGCATTCAATTGCCAAAAGGCCATAATTCACAATCTAGGATTCATACCATAAGGCTACCCATAACACGTTTCATCTCAATAGTACACAAACTTTTCATATTATATAAGGATTAACATAATTGACCCAAACAAATAATCATTGGATGAAAAACACAAGAAATGGAATTGCTGTCATATTCGCTGCCATTCGCCTGGTAAGGCATCTGGCGAATGCTCGCTACCTTATTCGCCTGGCGAACTCGCTGGCGAAGACAGTCAGTAGCTATTGGAATGTGTTCGCTAACACTCGCTGGTTCACTCGCTTGGCGAACCTTCGCCACACTCCTTCGTCCGGAGAACACCACAACGAAGACTAACTTTGGCTACTGACTTGGTTCGCTACCCACTCGCTGGGCTTCGCCTGGCGAACCTGCGAACTCAGAAATCCCTAACTGTCCAAAATCAT